AAAAAAGAAATGAGATTCTGACATCTGCTACAATATGGATAAACCCTGAAGACATATGAAGTGAAATCAGCCAAACAAAAGGGCAAACATGGTATGAATCCTTTGATGTGAGCTCCCTAGGGCAATCGAATCCACCGCTAAGCAGTAGGAAAGTGGGCCAGGAGCTGGGAGGACTGTGGAGTAACGATTCGATGGGTTCACATTTTAGTCTGTAAGGGTGGAAAGTTCTTGGAAATAGAGGGTGGTGACAATTAAATAGCAATGCAATTATGTGTAAGGCCACTGGATTGCATGTTCAGAAATGCCCCAAATATGTATCTAATCACAATAAAAACCCAGACCTGTTAAAAAATGGGCTGGTGAAATTGTCTCTTGGAGGAAAAAGCTTCCTTGTTTACCAAGCATAGTTGAAAAGAGAAAAAAAAGTTTCTTCTAATTTAGTCAAGCTTTCATCGGTAATTCTAGCAAATGATATTTCAGTGTCCAGTGAAGCAATGGTTACTGTGGTAGCAGAGAAAGGAACACTAGGAATCATAGCATGGGCAAGGCCAAACCTAGAAGTGCTCAGGGTAAACGCGCAACACTTTCGGGTGTATCTGTTTATGGATTCATGGATGTTTGAAGGATTCCAGGTGGACAGAAAACAACGGGTAAAGGCATTCAGGCAGGGGTGTGTCCTGGTGGTGGGGTGACTGGAGCGGGTAAGAGGGTGGTGGGGTAATTGGAGGGGGTAAGAGTGGTTGAGAAAGCCCTGCAGGGTGGGGATGGTAGATGACAAGTAGTGAGATAAATGTTTGCATTGTGTGAGGTCAGACCGTGTGGAGGGAGTTTGGACTTCAGGATCAGGAATCCACAAGGATCCTTATTTGCATTGGAGATCTCAAAGCAGAAGGTTTTGGTTCTCCCTGGGTGGTGGTGGTGGTGGTGGTGCAGGCCTTTAATCCCAGCACTCAGGAGGCAGAGCCAGGCGGATCTCTGTGAGTTCGAGGCCGGCCTGGTCTACAGAGCGAGAGCCAGGACAGGCACCAAAACTACACAGAGAAACCCTGTCTCGAAAAACAAAACCACACCAAAAAAAAAAAAAAAAAAAAAAAAAAAGAAGTTTTTGGTTCTCTGCTTTTTTTCTTTTCCTAATGTCAATTGCCTTCTTCAGGGAAGAGAAGTCTAGCCTTAAGTTCTCCGTGTCATTTTATCAGAGGTCTGCTATGTACAGAATTTCTTTAAAATGCCAAGCATACAGCGTAGAGAACGGAGTCATTGCACAGAAGGAAACTGTGTTTGCGCAGCGCACAGCGGCTCCACTCCAGTGAGTCTGGTAAATGACAAAACTGATAACTGGGCCCTTGAAATCCATTCTGCGATGAACTCGACACCATTTTTGGTTATTTGGTTTGCTTTCTTGGAAGCTGGGGTGAGGGTCATGATGTACTGCCTCGTGACATACATCATAATGTTTCCTTCCCCACTTACCTCCGCTGACCTTACTCGCTTGCTGGAGAACACAGAGATTTCTGTTTGATTTGGAGAAAGCAGTGTATTTACCAGTGGCTGAAGGTGATTAAGAAATAATGTCACGTCAAAGAGTATGTGGAGAGGGGCTGAGATAAAGATTGCCTGGATTGCCTCTTGATATTGTGGGAAGTTGACTTAGGTTCAATATGAACATGTTTTATTGGATAGGCTGTTGAAAGAAAAATTCCAACTCAAGTGTTGCTAAAGTAAAAATCAGTGTCTCCAATGGTGTCCTTTGCATAGCTTAAGAGACGACCGCTGCTGTTAGGATCTTGTATGATGCTGAGATCATGCATCCCAAGACCACAAGAAGGTCTGAGGCTTCTTTTGGATGTGTGTGAGGCAGGGCTCGCAATTATCAAATACCGCAGTTAACAAAGGCAGAGTGACTCGTGTGGGCATGGGCAACAAAGCTCACCCACTGACCAAGGTGAAGCATTTCTACGGGGGTGGGGTGGGTGGGTGGGTGGTGGTGGTGGTGGTGGTATGTGTTGGGTCCCCCTGCCATTCCCCTCCAGGGTGTCCTGAGGAGGCAGCTGCATCAGATTCTTTTTGGGCTCACGATGAGCTTTCATGAATTATGATGGTGCAGAAAAAAAGGTCACGCTATAGTTTCCTTTTTTTTCCCAGCTAAGCCACAGAAAAAAATGTGAACAGGGTCAAGAGTCCTCAGAGTGTGTCGTTTGTTATGGAGCCCGGGCTCTGTGTGGCACAGTCAGAAAATTTTTGCTAAAAAAGTCAAAAGGAAGCCTTTGGGACGAGGCTCACTTGAGTGTCCAGACATTGTTGGCACTGTCCACGACGGGAGTACCACCCCATGTGTGACTGTCAAGAACTTGGAATGGAAAAGGGCTATGATTTTGAAGACTTAGTATCTGCCCCCTCAAAAGGGGGTTAGTTCCTCATAGTGGTACATAGTGGTACATGCCAGCACACAGGAGGCAGAGGCAAGAGGAACTTGAGCTTGAGGCTGGCCAGCCTAAGCCACATAGTGAAATCCCATCTCAGCAAATCGAAACAAAATGAAACAGAGTGGCCAGTGGGACCGCTCCACAGGTAAAAAGGATTTGCCATAAATGCCTGACAACCTGAGTTCAATCCTGGGAACCATGGCGGATAGAGAGAGTGGACTCCTAAAAGTTGTCCTCTGACCTTCACAGGCCTGCTGTGGAATGCCCTTGCTTATGTGTGCAAGCACACACACACACACACACACACACACACACACACACACACACACACACTTATACACCCATCCACCTACCCACCCACCCACACCCATTCACCCACCCACCCACACACACACACCACCCCCACCTCCCATACACCCCGAATTTTTAAATAAGAAATAGAAATTAGTCCCTTTAACTCCCGAATTACTATCCTTGAAATGAATTGTTTTTATCTTACAGTGGTTTTGAAAAATGTCCAAAGCAATTATCCTTCATATAATTTCTGCAGCATTTGTTTAATTATTTTAGTTCAGTATTGCTGTCATAATGAAAACTTTCTATTGTTTGGATAAAAATAGATCAAATTTAATTATTTAGATCAAATAATTAAATCCCCCTCCAAGCATTTGGTGGGGCGGGGTGGGGGGGAGGAGAGTCAAAGAAAGCTGATTTGAATACGGAGAATAAATAATAATTAAACTGTAAATGTTGATTTTTTTTTCCCCTTTGAAGTCGACTGGTGTGTTGGGTGTGCATAAAGCTCACATTGTCACTTATTATTTCTGTCACCGCGATGGTGCGTGAGAATCACTACAGCGTTGCGTCAAACTGGGGAGTTTCCCAGGGCAGCTGAACTGAAGCTTTCTTTGTTTACATTAAAGCTGGATTATTTTTTCCCCTTCAACAGTACACATTGGTCCTAGATAAAAATCTGAGAGGCTTTTTTTCCCCCTCCTCTTCCAAACTCTTCTACTGCACTGTATTCTGGAGAGGAGATCTACCCTCAAACCTGGAAACGGAAAGGGACTTGCTTATTTCACTCTGCATTCTCCGTTTTTTTGTTTTTAGACTTAGAAATAGCAATTTTGGTCCAGGCTGCTCATTAGACTCATCTGGGGAGCTTTAAGGAAATCCAGGGGTCTGGGATACACCCCCACCCAACGAATTGTATTGGAAGCTGAGCTACAGGATCAGAGCTCATCACCGCTCCGGTGATTCCAGTGCAAGGCTGAGGCCGAGAATCGCTGCTGTGTTGGGGGAGGCAGAGCTGTGTTAGCCAGTTTCCCCAGGAGAACTCACACACTCCGGCTTATGGTGTGTGGGTGATTTAAGTGTCTAAACAACATTTCCCCCATATGACCGGAGATGAGGCCTGGAGTTTCTCATTCGGAATACTCCTCTTGTGTTTGGTTATAAACACCTAAGAGAAATGCACATTTTCCTTATGCTTTGATAGATATACCAGTGATCATAATTCCTCGGTTCGGTTAGTTAATTGGGTTTGCTTCATTCAGGATGTGGTGCAGGGAGTTTGTCTCTTAAAACCATGTACACCCAATAGACACTTGTGTACACATATGACGTCATGGTATTATCCTCTACAGATCCATTTTACAGGCTGTTCATCACAATAAAGAGGATGTTTGGAGCCAGGTGGATATCCTACAGACTTTGTTTAATTATTTTGGGTTGAGCATTACTGTCTTCACAAGTATAATTATTATCATGGGACCCAAATTTTTCCATTGTGAAAACTAGCTGTTGCCCTCAGATCTGAGTCTATGAAATGCAAGCCCTTCACACAGATTCAGCAGTGAAAGTATTTTGTATATAAAAATGCATTAAAGTAAGTTAAATTATATGCCTTTTATGAAGTTTGAGGTTTAAAATTGGTATCAAATGAGACAATTCTTATTGTCAGTAACCAAAAACTGATGATTGATCTGGAATTACTCTGTTTTTTTGTTTTGTTTTGTTTTGTTTGTTTTAGTTTCTTAAGACAGGGTTTCTCTGTGTACCCATTGTGGTTGTCCTGGAACTTGCTTTGTAGACCAGAATGGCCTCCAACTCATGGAGGAGCTACTCTGCTTTGAAGTAATTGCAAAATGGCTAGAAAATACAGATTAAAATCATTGAATCAGAAAAATTTGTTATTAGAGATTTAGCCAAAAGCTCTGGGAGGCTTGCTCGTCCATTCATTCATTCATTCATTCATTCATTCAACAAAGATTCATTGATGGTTTGCTATTATCACATAATGCTCTAGGTGCTGGTTTACAGCAACATCCAAAGCAGATGGACAGAAACCCAATCCAGCCCTTGTGGGGTTTATTTCTACCCTTTGGCTGGTTGAGTTCCAGAATACATAGATACTTTCTGCTTGGAGAAAGATGTTTAGAGAGAGGAGGAATCTGATTTTGTACCACTAAGAAGCTGATGTTTGAGCAGACGATTTAAGTAGATGAGCAAGTGTAGATCACATGAATGTAAGAAGGGTGGGTACTCCATACAGCAGAAACAGGTCTAATGCCAAAGGGCCAGAGGTGGGGGGAGGCTGGGGCTTGCCAGATAAAATACAGTAAGCCGAGTTAAAGATGAATGTCCCATAGACAATACAGAATTTCTTTTTCTTGTTTTATTTATTTATTTAATTTCAAGACAGGATCTCACTCTGTAGCTCTGGCTGTCCTGGTACTTACTTTGTAGACCAGGCTGGCCTTGACCTCACTTATCTCCACCTCTGCTTCTCAAGTGTTGGGATTAAAGGCGTTGATCACTACTCTGGCCCAGATTGGTTAGCACAAGCATCATGTAATGTTTAGAACATGTTTATACTAAAAATTTACAGAGGGTCTTGTCTTCTCGTTCCCTCAGCCTGGCAAAGTTTGGTAGCTCTCGCAGAGTTAGGGGATTGAAAGGAGGCCAATGGCTGGGCCGGTTGCAGGAAGTAGGAAAGACAGAGATGAGGCCTGAGAGGTCCAGAGTGGTGGAGTGAACTTGGAGGGCCTGTTAGACCATGGTAAGAACTTGAGGGTTGGTGAGATGGCTCAGTGGCTGAAGATGTTTCCCCCATGCCCGATGATCTCATTTCGATCCCTGCAACTCATGTGACGGAAGGAAGGAACTAATTCTGGCCAGTTTTCTTCTGACCTCTACATGTGGGCTGGAGCATGAGCACAAACACACAAAAGAAGTTCTTTTCAGCTAAAGTCAAAGAAAAACTTTAACTTTCCCCCTAGGTGACATCCTTGGAGAGTTTGAGATGACATGTTCTTGAAGTTGGGAAGCAACACTAAGTCTGTGTTGTATGGAGGACAACATGAGAAGAAGCAAGAAGACCAGGTAGGGGCTATCACAATACCAAGCGAGAGATGGTGAGGTGCTAAGATGAGGTGGTCTAGTTATTTTCTAAACGAACACCAGTAGCATGGTCTGGTGGGCTGGGTGTGTACCGTAGGTAGAGTTGAGTTTGGAAAAGGGTGGAATTGCCAGTCAGTGGGGTTTTTTGTTTTGTTTTGTTTTTTTGTTTGTTTGTTTATTTGGTGGTAGTGGGAGATATCAGAAAAATACATGCTCACATTTGACCTAAGTCAGAGATATTTAATAGCTAAGTGGAAACATCAAGTTGGAAATTCATTGTTTTGTTTTTTTTTTAATTATTTGTTTGTTTTTCTACGTAGAAAAGCTAGGAATCGCACCACTGTATCCTTGTCAAAAAGAAAAAGAAAGTTAGGATGAGGGATGGGAGGTACGGCCGTTAGGAAGAAAGTCAAGTTCTTTACCCAATACTGGGAGACTGAGGCCATCTTAGGAGACCGTGGGGGGCAGCTGTTGGCGCTTGTTCATCTCTTGGGTCTGAAGGCAGACGGGTCTCCAGAGCTGTCAGTGTGTGGAAGAGCTGATCCAGAAGCTTCCTCTCCAGGCTCTCAAGTGTCAAGGACTGGCTGAGTCACTCCATGCCGTCCCTGCCAGCTCCCTTCCCCCACTCCTGTGTGGTGTGGCAAGGTTAAATTGTACTTGCTCCGTCGTCTCCTCATAAAGCGAGAGCGTGTGGGAGTTACATTTGCTCCAGATTACCTCAGAGGAGAAGAGAGTCTTCCCATGGAGAAGGGAAATAAATCCTTATTGTGTTACTGTGCACCATTGCCACCATCGGCTCAGGGTTGTGATGTCAGAGAGGCTGGTCCTGCCTGAGGCTGCTCCACACATCCTCCGGGGTGGGGGGACAGGAGTCCTTCCTTTCCTGGGGATCTGAACAGACTCTTGGTTCTTCCATTCAGAGCTCAGCGGGCAGGATGTTAGCAATGCTTCTCTCTGCCGCCCACAAAAACCCGGCTTCTCCTCAAGGCACTTTCGAATTTCCCCACTGCTTCCTTCTTGATTTCCTGTCAGCGCCTGGGTTCTCTCCTCCTGTCGCTCCTTGGTCTTCTCTTGCTGGGTTATTTGCCTTACCGCCCCACCCCTGTGATTTCTTATGACTTGTCCTGTGGGGAAATTTGTTTTGCATTTGGGTCTGACTCTTATTGATAAGGCTCAGAAGGGGTGGTTGCCCAATGCTCACCAAGTTCCTGGTGGGTTTCCAGTTTCATTCAGGAAGCAGTTGCGTACGTTCTTAATAATGAAACTTCGTTTAGACACGTTGTGGTGCCTTTCTGTGTTGTCTGTGACCTCCAGTGGGGTGAGATACAGGACAGTCGCCATTAGTGTTTATGTCGAGATTATCAAATGTTCCTCTGGACTTCCCATTGGTGTTGGTTTGCAAAGTCGTCACTTGATCTGGGTGTGGGAGGCCTAGAGGGTTCAAATCATTTGGTTCCAGTTTTGTCATAACTCTGGGTCAGACAGTAGCCTTTTCTTTATGCCTGTCACAATGGCTTTACCTTGGCATGCTGCCCCATGAGTATCCAGTGAAGGGCCGGCTCTGCCCTTCATTCCCAGATATCCCGGGTATTTTTCCTTTTCTGGTGTGTGGGGAATGGGATACGGGTGAACTTCCTTGCAAAGATGTGCCGTGCTGATCACTGTGTTGTATCCCAGCCCTGGACCGCTCAGATGTGAATACAATGACATCCCGAATAAAAACACCTACTGGACTGCGTAGCATCTCACTATGGGGAACAAGTGCTTATTAAACCCAGACTGTTGAATGCTTCGGAACTTCTAGATGGCGACTGTCACGATCCTAATGCTTTTAGGGGCTGCTGCCAACACTGTTCATTGGTTGTTCAAGTTAAAATGCCGGTGGAAGGCGGGATCTTGTCTCGACTGCTGTTCACAACAGAAGGTCAGAAGATGAATTCTGAGTGAGAACCGGAGCTAAACTGGCCCCTTTCAATGTGTGCTTCGATGAGGTGTTTTGGATGGAGCTTTTATTGGTCAAGCTTGAAAGGTCAGTCTGTACTCAAAGGTCACATTTCCCATATTGGGGAATAAGGAAATAGGCTAGAAGCTGCTAGAAGGTTTGCTGCTGCCTTTCTTCCTTTTTTTACTTCTTATACAAAAGAAAGAAATTTTTAAAAAAATGTATAGGGCTGGAGAGGGGGCTCAGCGGTTAAGAGCACTGGTTGTTCTTCCAGAGGTCCTGAGTTCATGTCCCAGCAACCACATGGTGCCTCACAGCCATTTGTAATGAGATCTGGTACCCTCTTCTGGTATACAGACAGACTGTATACATCATAAATAAATCTTGTAAAAAAAAATGTATAGATGACACGGTGTTAATTGTACTGGCCAAGAATAAGACCACCGGCACAGTTTAAAGCCAAATTTGAAGCAAGCTTTAATTAAATACTGGCCAGATAGATGGGCTCTGGTCAGGTCCATACCCAGGTTTCCAGGAAATGGCCCCGAGTCATGTTTTTACAGGGACTTAAGAAGGCCAAACTCACAATTCACATTTCCCATCAGGTCCAATCAGGGCTAAGCAGACATCCTGACATCCTTTCTGCCTGTGAACCTCCCACCCGCACGTGATCAGGCACATCTGGTACAGATGGGTCAAACAAACTTGTTTAGGGGAGTGAGAAGATGTGGCTTGTTGTCTCCCCCAAACAATAGCCTCCAGCATTTCAGGAACTCTCTGTCCCTGGGCAAGAGGCTTGCACATCAGAGGCATTTTTGTTTCATGGATCTCCAAGGCATAGCAGTTAAAACTTAAAATGTAACTTTGGCTCTCGCGATGGAAACAAGACTTTTATTTTTCCCATCTATGTTCCACTATGGTTATTATGCACTCAGAAACAAGGAAAAGAGACAGAAATGGAGCTTGCAACAAATATACAAACCCACTCCTACCACGTCTACTTCCAGGAGTCCCTGGAACGGAAGGTGAATAGCCCTGGGCTTGAACTCTGGTTTCTTCACTAATTGGATTGATTTGGGGGCAAGTTATGTAAGCTAACTCATGATCGCCCATCTATTAGGAGGGATATAAACAGTATTTATCTAATATGATTACCATGAAATTAGAAAGACAGATGCTTGTAAAAACAAAAACAAAAACCAGCAGAAAACCTGATGTCTGATAAGTGTTGAGTAAGTGATGATAGTTACTTAAAATTTTTTTCTTTTTTTTTTTTTGGTTTTTCGAGACAGGGTTTCTCTGTGTAGCTTTGCGCCTTTTCCTGAGACTCACTTCGTAGCCCAGGCTGGCCTCGAACTCACAGAGATCCGCCTGGCTCTGCCTCCCGAGTGCTGGGATTAAAGGTGTGCGCCACCACTGCCCGGCTAAATTTTTCTTTTTTGAGCCAAGGTTTCATGTACTCCAGTTTGTTATGAACTTGATGTGTAGTGGAGCGTGACCTCAAACTTCTAAGCCTCCTGCCTCCAGCTCCTGAGTACTTGGATTGCAGGTATGTGCCACCATGCCCAGTTTAAAGAGGGCTGGTGATGGAGCCCAGGGCTTTGTGCACATTAGCAAGCACCCCAGGCTCTAAAAATGGCTATCATTGCAAAGAGAGACTATTTCATTACTAGAAAAATACTGATAGAAATGGGGTAGAGGGTCATAGGAGGTAGAAGGGGTTACTGGTCTTCTTGAATACTCACTGTATGTCTGTCTCTGAACTATGAGTCAAGGACTGAGGTAGGATAGAAAGACAGACAGGGTAATTTTATCAGATCAACGGGAGGGGAAGGAGCCCCTCACCTTGAAGTCAACAGTTTAGAAATAATATTTGCTTTGTACACAGATATTTTATTATTATTATTATTATTATTATTATTATTATTATTATTTGGTTTTTCGAGACAGGGTTTCTCTGTGTAGCTTTGCGCCTTTCCTGGAACTCACTTGGTAGCCCAGGCTGGCCTCGAACTCACAGAGATCCGCCTGCCTCTGCCTCCCAAGTGCTGGGATTAAAGGCGTGCGCCACCACCGCCCGGCAAGATATTTTATTATTTTAAAGTAACCGTAAACAGGACTTAAAGCGTGAATGTATATAACCTTGGGTAGAGCTTCATTTCTTTCCATGGACATATCCTGGGAATCTTAAATAAAACCTTAACTTTGTTTACAGTAAATGCAGTCTGCCTTCCTGCATTCCTATGATCAAACCAAGGGTTCTCAACATGCAGGTTGTGACCCCTTTGGGTAGCGTGGGGGTCAAAAGACTCTTTCACAGGGGTTGCATATCAGATATCCTGCATACCAGCTATTTATTTACATTACAATTCATAACAGTAGCAAAATCAGTTATGAAGTAGCAATGAAATAATTGTATGGTTGGGATCACCACAACATGAGGAACTGTATTAAAGGGAATGTTGCTATTAAATGCTATTAAAGCATTAGGAATGTTGAGAACCACTGCTCTAGACTTTTGCTTTATCAGTTGTCATCCAGACAGCTGCCCCTCAGGAACCACGAGTGAGTGACCTCCCTTAGGGTTTCTTCGTAACTCCTTAAAGACACTAACTTCAGCCATCCTCCAGATCCCATATAAGAATATTATAAAGAGAATAAAGTACAACCCCCTTTCTGAGAAGCTATATATGTCTTTTCTTCTGAGTGTCCCCTCTCTTAATGTCTATATTAAAGTAGTCAGGTGATGGTGGCGCATGCCTTTAATCCAAGCACTCAGGAGGGAGAGACAGGCAGCTCCCTCTTGAATTTGAGGCTATCTTGGTCTACAGAGCACTTCCAAGGCAGCCAAGGCTACACAGAGAAACCCTGTCTCAAAAACACAGACAATGGTAACAACAAAACAAAACCAACCCCAAATAAAATATAAAATACCTTCATTAAACCTCAATCCTGCCTCATACTGGCCTGTTCTGTTCTAGGGTTCTTTTCTGTATCAAAGTCACAAATCTTGGTTTGCCTGAGTTGAGATCTCTGAGAGAGTCAATGAACTCCTGACGCTGCTAAGGGGGTCACTGTGAAGTTGCACCTCTGTTGCTGACAAGAGCCCACTGTGATTCTGTACTGGGACCGGAGGCTGAAGAATTTCCATTCCCAGCGATAAACGCTGAGGGTGAAGACCGATGAACGCTACCTGCCCTTACCGGAAGCGACGGCCTCTGCTCTCTACCTTAAGCTAGTAGACTGCTATTGGAGGAGTAAGAAAAAGAAATGCATCAGGCCCTCTGAATAGGTGAGACAGTTGATTGGCTTGATCTGTTTGGGAGGCATCTAGGCAGTGGTACCAGGTCCTGTGCTCATTGCATGAGTTGGCTGTTTGAAACCTGGGGCTTATGCAGGGACGCTTGGCTCAGTCTGGGAGGAGGGGACTGGACCTCCCTGGACTGAGTCTATCAGGTCGATCTCAGTCCTTGGGGGAGGCTTTGCCCTGGAGGAGGTGGGAGTGGGAGGTGGGCTGGGGGGAAGGGGAGGGGGGCAGGAGGGGGGAGAACAAGGGAATCCATGGGTGATACGTAGAACTGAATGGTATTGTAAAATAAAATAAAAGGAAGCCCCCCTCCCCCCAAAAAAAGAAATGCAGAAGTATCCAGAGAGGGGAAGGGGGATGGAAGAGAGAATGCATCTAAGGCTAGGTCCAGGCTTCCATTTTGAGAAACGGCCAGAGCATCATATAGCATCAGTACCCCTGTACCGAGCACAGAAGAGGGCAGTGAACTGAGCTGTGGGGGCGTATGAGCACCCGACTTCCCCTCCCGAAACCGTGACGTGTCCTTAGTCCTGGTGTGAAGCAAAGAAGACGAAGGTCTGTGTGCTGCTTCCTGAAGGATGGTGTCTTCTTTTATTAACAGGGAGTTTAGGAAGCTGGGCTGCCATCTGTAGACCCAGATGAGGAGAGAAGTGACATTCACAGTCTACCTCTGGGGGAGGGAAATACTTCCGAACTCGAACTCAGCGAACCATTCTCCAAGTTGTGGTGTGGAGCAGAGGACTTGAGCGCTCTCACCTCCACAGGGATTGAAATGGATTCGCACAGGCCATGAAGTGACAATTTAAAGATTGTCCTTTTGATCTTCACTCTTGGGTGCACTCTTTTGCTCGGCCTGTGCTTTTTGGACAAACCGTATTTAGCTTTCCTAACAGCATCTGGAAGACATTCATTCTGCTTTTGTTTAGGACTCCAATCACCATGGCACGTGTTGGAGTCCTCTTGAGATGGCATTAATGCCCCTGCCTGGTTACTGGAAGCTCTTGGCCTTTTCAGAGGAAAGGCCCTGGGATTCCTTCTTCTGAGCCCGTGAATCAACTCCGTCAGATGCCCTCCCACTTGCAAGCTGGCATTAGTTCAGTGGACTTCCTCTGAGCAAGCCAAGCAAATTCTCGAAATGCCAGATGGGAGATGGAAATGCAAAGGTCACCGTTCTCCTCGCCGCTGCCCCCGTTCCCACCCCAGCTATGAGTGTGAGAAGTTCAGATTACTGCAGAAGACATCAGGCCGCTGGGCCGCTCAGAACTACTGTGGTCTGTGCCCGCCTATAGGCTCTGTTTTCTGTATCATAAAACGAGTGTTTGTGTTTGCAACCCCGGAGCTCAACTCTCCTGACCCCGGTCCCCAGCTCTCCACCGCCGATGAATGCACATCATTTCTGCGTGTGCCTTGTTGGACGGCCCCTTCTCCAAGCGTCTGTGGGTGGTTTCCCTGCGCAGAATGACAAGGGCAAAGGTCAGAAACTTCCATGATTCATTTCCTCTTTGTTACACGCAGTGGTTAGCTTTCTAGATGAGTCACTCAGATGCCCAAATAGGGGGGATGGGAACTCCCAAGGCTCCACTGTGCCCCCAGTTTGGACAACAGCGTTCTGAAGAGCGCCTTACAATTCTGTTTTCCTCCTGTGGTTTCATAGGCCGGTCTGTGCCCCTGGTCTCTGATTTGTGAAGGCAGCCTGTCTGCGTGGAGAACTTTCTTATTATCTTGTGTTGTCTCTCTCATTTCTGGCTCCAGAATTGTTAGACACGTTAAATAGACCCCAGGTACGCTCTCATATTAAAATACTTTCCAGGGGCTAGAGGAATAGTTCAATGAGTCAAGTGTATGTATGTCACACTAGAATAAGGATCTAAGTTCAATCCCTAGAATGTACATTAAAAACAAGACAAAACAAACAAACAAACAAACAAAAAACAGATGTGGCTGCCGATGGTGGTGCACACCTTTAATCCCAGCACTCAGGAGGCAGAGGCAGGTGGACTTCTATGTTCGAGGCCAGCCTGGTCTACACAGTGAGTTCCTGGACAGCCAGGACTACACAGGGAAACCCTGTCTCGACCTGTCTCGAAAAAAAACA